GCAGCGGGATGCCCAGAGGCCGCAGGCCGCCGCGCTGGAGACAGAAGCTGGAACCGAGGAGCTGGGAGGAGACCCCGGGGGCTGAGGCCCCCACAGGGCGAGCCTGCGGGGAGCGGAGGCACCGCTGCGGGGACTGTGCCCAAACATTTGCTACCCAGAGGAAGCTGCGCAAGCACCAGGAGGCCCACGGTGGGGGCTCCCACAGCTCCCGGGCTGGACGGAGGTCTTCCACACGCTTCGCCTGCCCTCACTGCGCCAAGGTGTGCAAGACGGCAGCCGCCCTGAGTCGCCATGGGCAGAGGCACGCTGCTGAGAGGCCTGGGGGCACCCCCACACCTGTCATTGCCTACTCCAAGGGCAGCACTGGCACCAGACCTGGGGATGTCAAGGAAGAGGCCCCCCAAGAGATGCAAGTCTCCTCATCCAGCGGGGAGGCCGGTGGCGGGAGTGCTGCGGTGGAGGAAGCGTCTGAGGCCGCCTCAGTCCAGGACCCTGTCATCTCAGGGGGTGAGGAGCTCCCAGTGGTGGCCGGAGCGGGCGCCTATGCATACCCACCTGTGCAGGAGTTCCCACTGGCTCTGATTGGAAGCGGCCGGGAACCTGGTGGAGGCAGGGGAAAGCCTGGCAGTGAGGGGCCTGTGGGGGCCGGGGAGGGGGACCGAATGGAAGGGATAGGAGCTGCCAAAGTCACCTTCTACCCTGAGCCCTACCCCCTCGTCTATGGCCCCCAGCTCCTTGCTGCCTACCCTTACAACTTCAGCAACTTGGCTGCGCTCCCAGTTGCTCTTAACATGGTCCTACCTGATGAGAAGGGTGGGGGAGCCCTTCCGTTCCTACCAGGGGTCTTTGGCTACGCAGTCAATCCTCAAGCAGTACCCCCTACGCCCCCAACTCCGCCTCCCCAAACTCTTCCCCCACCAGTCCCCCCTAAGGGAGAAGGGGAATGGGCAGGGATTGAAGGAACCCAGAAGGGAGATGTGGGGTGAGCTCTGGACTCAGATCTCCCCTTTCACCAGATGCCACCCTCCCTGAACCCCCCCGCCACTACCAGCTCCCTGGCCTCCTTGCCCCCTGGGAGCCCCTCCACACTCTTGTGCAGGGACTTAGGGGCCCCTGGAGCTCAGGGGTCAGGCTGCTTTGTGTGAGATTGTAGTTTTCCTATCTCCTGGGAAGGGATCTTTGGTGGTTCCCCTCTCGGTTCTCCTCCAGGGAATGACCTCCATGAGGGGCAGGGCCAGCTCCCATTCCCTTGGCCAGCCCTCGGGGCAACTGAGCAATATACTTACATGAATCTCTACTCATGGCCCCCACCAGCTCTGAATGTCTAACCCGCCCCCCGATTCGTATTCCTAGGGGGAAACCATCTCTCTCCCCTGTGCCCCTCCCTCCTTCTGAAGCGTTCTCTAAGCCCTTGCCCAGATGCTTCCTAGCACATTCCATTCTTGGCCCAGGGCCTGGACCAGACCATTGTGATACCTGACACCCACCCCCATGGGAGCTCGGCTTTGGATTCTATCTTCCGATGGTGGATTTCTGCGTCCCTTTTCCTTCACGCTAAGATGCCATGCCTCCCGGGCTTCCATGCCTTTGGATCTTCCGTATCCCTCCTCACACTCCTAGGCTCTGGAGATGGCCTCTTCCAGTCCAGGTCAGGGGGTGCTGGGGAGGAGGGCTACCCATCTGTTTCTTTCCCAGCCCAGGGCAGCACCAATCTTGGTTCTATCTTGACCCCCAAATCCAGTGAGTCCCAGATTCTTCCAAGGCAAAAGAGATGAGTAGATCACATCTCTTTCTGCCTCTGCATATGGCCTCTTCTGGGCTAAGCCAGATTTGGGGGCTAGCAGGGAGGACCTCCATATGGAATGGGGAAGGGAATCTACTTTTTCCCTGTGTTTTTTTTTTTTCTTTCTTCCTGATGGTTTCTCCCAGACTAGACCAAATAGCCAGAAAAATAATGGGGGTTGGATGGGTGGGTAAGCTCAAGATTTGCACATGACCTCCCATCCTCACCTTTACCCCCATCTTTCCCAGCACCACTTCCCTCACCAATCACTCCAGATGGTTTTGGGGAAACCATACTATTCCCTTGGTGGGCTTTGGGGTATCCCCACCGATTTCCCCTCCAAAATAGCACCTTATACCCCATCTCTGATTCAGTTCCCCACACCCAAAGATCCCAGCCTAGGGATGGGGTGCAGGGACCTTAAATAGTCCCTAATCCCTAATTTGCACTAGTTAACCCTGGTCAGGGCCCCTATGTTTCCTTCCAGTGGGTTGTTGGAGAAACATTTGCTCCTAATTCTCTGATAACAGGGCCTCCCCACTCTGTGATTGGATGAGCATTTTCCATCTGACCCACCTCACCCCAAAAAACCCAGCTCACAAGGGGAGAGCCAGTTTTGGGGAGCAAATTTGAAAAATGGGAATTAGAGGAGTGCAGTTTTAGAAAGGGGGAAAGTTGCTATCATCAAAATGGCAGCCTTTTCCCCAGCTACTGTTTTCTGGGGCCAAGATGGCTGCCCTCTCAAAAGACGTTGAAAGGGCAAGATCATGGCTTTTAGAGGGAGGTGAATTTGGGGGAAGGGACAGGAGCATCCTCCTGCCTCCTCTTACCCTCCCGGACTACACAAAGGGGGAGGTTCTTGACAGGCTCCCTGAATGTTAACCATGGAGGAGTGTCGCTCCTTCACTACTCCTCTGTCTCTTTGCACTTTTCTTGGTCTTGGCCACAGTCCGAGTGAAGAGTTTTCCTACTGAATGTACCAAGTTCCAATTTTTATGGGAGAAAAAAAAATTTTTTTAACAGGGGAAAATGCAAAAAAAAAAAAAATCACTAAAACGTTCCCACAAATCTTGTTTCTGGCACTTTAGAAAAACTGCGAAAAAAGTACATAATAAAGAATACATATATATATATATCTATATCTACACACAGATTATATATATATATACACACACAGCGGAACCACAAGAGAGACTGAGGTAGGCCTTGGACGCAGGGGCAGATGAGATGACAGCCCCCGTATGTC